TCGGTGACCAAGAGAACAAGACCATACGCACTAAATCTTGTTACTGTTCAAAAGTATAAGTCACAGGAAGATAAAGGGAAAAATAATTGCTCTTTGTTGCCAGCGAAGTTATCGTCTGTACTGTTTCCAGCACTGGCCCCTGCCCAGACCACAGGGATGAATAGCCAGGCTTTCACGAGAGCTCAGCTCAAGTCGCATTTTGAGCACGTTTTCCAAAGGATTACACCAATGTATAGCTCTGGGCTTAAAAAGCTGTTGTCTTGTGCACCACCTTGTTCTGTTAATGACAGCAGGCTCCGTAATTGGGGTTCACTTTTCCCCATCAGTGTTACTCGCTCTGCTGCATCAGAAGGATCAGCGCTTCCTTCTGCTGCCCCCGTTCATACATCTACGACATTTTCACATCCGCGTTGCCACCTGCTAGCATGACGTGACGCTGTTTGGGTTCTGCAAGTTCCTCTTGATAATAACCCTGCCTTCCCCAGATGCTTGGCAAAGGACATTTATAAACTAGAAATATAAATGTGAAAGGCTGCTACAATGAAACGTCCCTACCGAAATCTGTGCGTGGTTTACTGCGCACTGCCACCACGAGCAGAGGAGTCAGTCAGGAACACAGCGCCTGCTCATCACCCACAAACTGTCCCTCTGGTCTAGCTGAGATTTGATTTGCTGCTTTTTCTCAACAAAACTAGACTTTCTCTCTAATTTTTTTTAAATACCACTTCTCCTGCAGAATCAACACCCCTACAGAAAAAGAGAACGGGTTTTAACCTAGGCGCTTCATTCACCCCTAGCAGCTCTGATCCAACTTACCCAAATTCCAGCTGCAAAGTCTACCTGTGGTGGTGACACCCTGGCTAAACTGATCAGCGTTAACACACAGACAGATGCCAGGGGCTGCAGGGGTGGCAGGAGAGGACCATTGCATTGATTTTTACTTATGAGCTGAGGAAATCTGATGAACACGTGAAAAGCTGCACTGTCCATGTGAGGAAGTCCCTGCATTATTATGTCACACTATATTATTTGTTAGAAACTCTGAAAAAGTACGAAATGATTAATTGCTATTTTCCAACCATTAGAGAGTGCAGCAGGGTTCTCATAATTATTTATACCATTCTCCAAGGACATTGACAGTCTGGAGAACCCACTATTCACACGTATAATATCCTTATAACATCTATGAGTCACTTATCCCATTATGAAAAAGAATCTAACATAAAGCATGGCCTTTGCTATTCCCCTCTCTGATTTATCCAGGGACAGAACCGTCAAGCCACCGTATACACGAGAAGGTACTCTTTCATATACCTGCTGTTTATTTAGAAACCCCGGGGTCCTCCTCTCTCCTGTAAGTCTCCAGGGCATTCTCTCTTTAATGAATCAATTTTGCCATGCTTTGGAAATTCCTTTCTCTATAGGTACCAGCACGTACTAACAGAAGCAGAGCTGGGCTGCAAATCTGATTATCCCTTTCTCCCTCCATCCATCCTTCTCCTGGGATCCTACAGGAGAACTAGGGATATTCTCACTCCTTGTCCTACTACCAGCAAGTATCAGAGCGCTGCAGTGTGACTGCGGCTCAGCTGAAGCTTAAAAGAAGCCCAAGTGCTTCCCAGTTAAAGGAGGATCTACCAGGTGTGTTCCTGTCCTGCAGTCTCACTTCCAGACTCTGGGAGGGAGTCACTTCTGCCACTGACTTCCACGCTTCTGGAACCAGCAGAGCCCACCTAGCCCAGCTGCGATCGATTGAAAGGCATCAAGCGTGACTGTTTTCCGTCAGCCCGACCTGGGGGCTGCGCGGGGTTGCCAAGACATAGGAAGCTTTGTAACAGAAGTCTCTTGGGGGAGGAGAAGAGAGGAAGGCTGGGGCAGACTGAGCCGGCGGAGGGCATGCCAAGTTCCCGAAACTCAAGAGCTGGCTACAGAAAGGTTTGCATCAGCTCCTTCGTAGTCAAGGAAAACCAGCTCCAAGCTTCCTCTGATTGGATTTTCTCAGTTTGATGCATGCTCGTGTATTTTAACCCACTTGGCCTGAAGTGTGTCTGTTACATCAACTTGACCCAGACGCACAGGCCGGGACAAGCAGGAGAGATCCACCCAGCGCCTCTCCAACCGCAGACCGCACCACCTCCTCCCTTCCGAGTGGCTTCGACCTGACTGTGCGATACACACAGAGTGCCAGAGCCCTCAGCTTAGCGAGATGTTTGCCCTGCCATTCCCGCACAGCAGTGGGTTCCCAGCCCAGCAGGCTGCAGAGCCCCTGCGTGACCCGACACATGTTCCTGGCACAGCTTTTTATTCCTTATGTCTTTGTGCTCAGCAGAAAAGTCTGCGAGAAGCTGAAAGACAGACTCCTACCTCGTTATCCACGCTCTCCGTGGCCATGCACTGGTTGTTGGCTAGCGTGGTGATCTCTCTGCTTTTGGGGGTTTCCATTCGACAGCTACAGAGGGGGACTTCCTGGAGACCATCTACTTCCATTGCTTCAGGACCATTGGAAAGACCTGGAGTACAGAAGACCAATAAATCAACTCTGAAATTCTCTTCCAGGAGAAAGAATCAGTCCATCCACACCACCCACATCCTGTGGCATCTTCCCATTCCATGTCCTGAAACGCTTTCAGGGCATTATCTAAAACCTGTAAAAAAGACCCCTTTCTTATATCAGCTGGAGTTTGCAAAAGCATCCTGTACTTTTCTAAGTCCAGCCACACTACAGATGACTGTGCTGAAATCAGGAATAGTGAGTTAAGAACAGTTTACTCTGAGAAAATCTCAACAAGGAAAAGCAACGATGAAGTAAAGATTTTTATCAGCCTGTCTCTCCTCCCCACCTGCCCCAAAACACTGTGCTCTGGCACCAGAAAATTTGTAGGAAACCACCTGGAGTTGGAAATCTGAATAGTTAGTGGAGTGATAAATGGAGAAGATCAGGACAGCACAAACTTCTGTTTGCAGAGGCTTATTACACAGATGGGAAAACAAAATTCCTAGGACTATTTGGTCTCAGCCAACCATGAATTATTTATTTTGGAAAGAGAACAAACCAGGGAAAAGAAAGCAGCAAGATGCTCAGATGTTCTTGCCTTCTCCTCATCTCTTTCTCTCAGATTTTGAACATTTTCAAACCTATTTAAAGGTGGATAATGGCTTAGGGGGGCTCACCGTCAGGTCTGGGGGCATAGCGTGAAAGTTCTTGTGGCTTCAATGGATTCAACTGCATCACAAGGTTACCCGTGACTGCAAAACACTGGCCTAACGACAAAGGGGTTGCTTCTAGTCCTACACTCCTGTTCTAATCCTACGCAGTCGCAACACATCTCTTTGCAACGTTGTCAATACGGAAGTGAACTCTCAAACATTTGCCTTTGGATTGGTTCACCCCGAAGCGTCCCAAGCTTTGC